ATTTTCCATTCTGCTGCATGCATGTCTACTGTAGCAACCTAGAGAATTGCAGAAGATTTCTGCCGTTGTTCAAGTCTGATATATATAAAACAGTTCAAAAGCTTTTCATCAGGAGGTCACAACTCCAATATGATATCACAGATTCTATTACCCAAGTCTCACTCAACCTCTCAAAAGATCAATTTAACAGCCCCAAAAGGATTTGTATTTACATTTGAAGCTAACTCTCATGTTTTTAAAATAGAAGCCCCTTAAAACTTTTCAAATACCCACAACAATGGAGTCTAAACATAGAAGGGGCTCAGTACACAAAAATAATTAAAAAGTGATGTTTCATGGATTTGAAAGTCAGGGGATGAAAACCTATTGTCCACAGTACCATGGAAAGCTTGCCATCTTCAGTGCAGTCGTGATTTCAGTCCTCATGTATCCCGAGTAAGTGCTCTTTCAATTCTTAAAGCTCAAGGGAAATCTTTCACTCAAGGAAGAATGACAAATTTATCACAAGGCATGTGAGAGTAAAACTGCTGAAGCCATACAGGTACATTTCAATTCACACAACAGGTTCATATTCTCAATGATACTGGAAAACGTTTGGTTTGGTTTTGGTTTTTTGGTTTTTTGTTTTTGTTTTTTTTTAAAAGATTAGCACTAAAATTAGTAGTCATATTCAATATTAGTAAAACTGTACCATTTAGCAAACCTGTTTCAAGGGCTTCATCACAGCTGATGCTGTGCAAACTTATGAAAGATCAGCAACAATCAGGTAAAATATAGTCTGAAGGGAAAAAAGCACAGAATTAGTCAATAATTTAATTTCTAGAATCAGTGATTACTTTATTAACAAGAATACTCAAATAATATCACTCACTTTCCATAAAATGTACATTTCCACTAGCATCTTTAAAAAAAAAAAAAACAAAGTATGCAAAAAATTCAAACATTTAAGTAAAATAATTTTGAGTTACAAGTAAGGAAATATACCACTTGACACATACAAAGTTTAAAAACTGTTCCGTTTTCACTCAGAAATGACCTGAGTGATTTATTATAAAACTATCCTAAACACTTCCTTACATATGAGGCTTATCAGGGGAATTTTGAAAATACAGGTATTTTCTTAAATTCACTTTGAGAAGAAGAGTGCAGAGCAGGACACTTCATTACTGATTTAATTTCTGAGTAAATAAAAGCTACGAGTAAAGAGAAAATTAATTTCATTTTGGTTTTACTGTTTGCATATAATCTTAATATCTTAGTAACTTAGGAAATTGAATTTCTTTTAATAACAATTGTAATAAGCTGAAACTTGCTAAGGACAAGCTACTGAACCGAAACCATGATAGCCAGGTAGTTTAAGTGTAAGTCTGAGCATGGAAAGTTCTGAGGTTTTCTTCATTCTATTGAAGAGGCATGTAAATAACATTTTTGACACTGGATATGTAGACAGGTACATGTATGATACCTAGGTTCCCCCCCCCCCCCTTTTTAAAAAAAAAAAAAAAAACTAGTAATAAACAGGAACTTAAACTGAGATTGTACATCAGGAGTTTGGTATGACAGGCCAATGCTCCCAGGCAAAACACTGAAAGTGGTACTTGAAGAGGCTTAAATGAAGAAATTCTGCTTTTCTTTCTGCTGACAACTAAGCACTAAGACTGAAACCAACACTTACTTCAGCTGTTCAGTTACCTGTTAAGCAATGCTTTTCTAGCTCAATACTCTTTAAAAAAAAAATATATATATATTCATTGAAAGGGTAAATTACTAATCCTAAACCAAAATCTTGACAGAAAATAGCTGCAGCTGATGGTGTCTAGCCAAACTAATATCCATATAAACCCATTATAAAATCATTTCACTGCGGATTACTTAAAGCTCATAAACTTATATGTGTACATACTTGACCATACAGGTTTTTTTAATTGTTCTTTTCAATGAGAATACCTGGCAGAGCATGTCATCTACGAAGACAGCTATTTAAAAAGACATTTCTGCTTATTATCATTGCCTTTTCAAATGACATCCACCAGGTAGCTGGAAGTCAAGCAATAATCAGAAACAGAAAACATCAGTCTAAAATTTATGGCAGCCCTGTGAATGGATCATTTTGTATGTGTCTCTTTGTAAGAACGATCAATAGGTAATTTTGACAACATGTGTAATATTCATTAAAAAAAAAAATCAATAGATTGGTTTAGCAGAGTCATACTAACATCTCAATTTTTTTTTTTTTTTAATGATCAAGCCCATAAAAATTAGGAGGCACAATGTACCTACTAGGAATGCCCGTTGTTTATTACTACCCATGCCTACATATGGCAATACTAACACCTCTTGAAATAGGATTGAGAAAGCAGATCATTAACACGATAAAGACAAAAATGAAAGAACAAAAATAAAGATACCTGTACACACAGATGACTAACACACAGAGGAGCTCAGTTCAGTTTGGTCATCTGTTTCCTGTTATAAACTTACTTTTTCCAGCATTACTGGCTACAAGGGTAACATAAAAGCCAACTGGCAAGACAATGGAAAATAATGACTACGTTAGGACAACATTTTGTTCACCCTACAGCTGGTCCCAGTGGGGCCAGACACGCAAGAACCACAAATAGTACTTAGGTCTGCATCTCGGACATCAAGCTAGCTCCTTGCATAACAAGCTGCTACAAGAACAGCAGCTGTTCACTTACCAGGACCACAATGTCCAGTCACCTTGTTTAGGGAATTCTAGGCTCTATTCATTCCATACCATTTACGTATATGGAAACATGTAACAAATTAACACACCTAAAAATTAATATAATTGAGCTCACATTTCTAGAGGGAAGTATATGGCACAGAATGGCCATTTGATCTGTGGTAAATTAGCTATTGTCAGCTGTTGAAAGTATCTTCTCCTTTTTTTGCTTTTTTTAATGTGCTTCTCTTTCGTTTTCAATAAACAAAACATCAGTTTACCTCAAGTACAGTTCAGGCTTTACTATTCATAGTAAGGTAACTCCATCCTTAGACATGAGGAAGATTCTGTTGTCCTGAGAAGAAACGAGAGCTCATTGATGCCAACAGTGACAAGGTCACAAAGCAGTATTACAAATGGCATGCAGTCTCACTATCCTGTAAGCCATCAAGGTAATGGATACTATGAGATGCCATCGAAATATCCCTCCCTGGGGAAAAAAAAAACAAACCTGTCACAAACTCACTTTCTGTAGTTTGGCCCATCCAAGAAAAATGGGATGTCATGATGCGTATAAATACAGCACTGGTTTTGCAGGTTTTCTCCCTTGCTTCTATAAATCTTTTCTTCCTGTGAGGCCTAGTTCTGTGTGGAGCGGCAGACATAAAATAATTTACTTAAGTCACAAATAAGCAACACCTGTGGGAAACTGCATCATTAACATGAAAGCAAGCACTTTAAACAAATGGAAAAATAACCCCAAACAAAACAGAAATTGGTATTTGGATTCTTGTGTGACTTTAGCTGTTTTTTTTGACTGTGCTATCTAATAACCTCTTAGACATTTGTCCAAATAAGGCTCCTTCTCCACCTCTGTTTCCAAGAAATACTGGTTTTACCTGTTAAAAAAGCCATTTTTATTTTTTTATTCAGTGGCACACACGCTCCCTGTGGCGCACCCCAAATGCATTCCTCCTCCATTTTCTGGTAGATCCAAAAACTATTACAAACTATTGAAACAGATATTGTAGAAATTTTGAAGCATGTAACAGGACAGATTCTTGCTCTACTGAAAGCTATTTATTATTGCATAATATCAGACCATGCCAAATATTCAACATCACCACAATTAAAACACTCATATTGGTACCCATTACCTGGAGCAGAGCATTGTGAAAATCCTTAACAGAAACACCATCAAAGCCTGCATCAGATGTCTCACCTTGACGAATTCTTCCTTCAGCACAAAAAGGTAACGAAGAGACATTTTCTCACTCCAGATGTAGTATCTGGAGTTCTAAATAAAGTGATTTAACATGGATAATGTTCAGACTTGACACACTGCTATCTTAAAAACTGAGTTCTTTTTGGGCAAGTATGAGAGAAAACCCTAGAAGCAACTGGTATTGTCATATATTTTATATTTGCTATACATTCTTCCAACCTCCAGCTACTTCTGTAACTATAAAAAGTTGCAGCAAAAGTACCACATCATTATCTACTGAAGAACTCACGCTAAAGGTATAAAATCATACCTACTTGCTTACCTTTGTGCTTCCAAATAAGTGTGCAGCTTCCTTCAGTCTTCACAGTAAAAAAACCCCAAGTGTTTAGATATTTTAGAGATATACGTTTCATAAAGAATAAAATATTTCAGGATTCTTTTTTTTTTTTCCCCTCCAATACCTGTTGTTGTTTGTAATTCTGTTTGCCACGTGCACTGACGGTATGTTCACACTAACCAAACTTCAGATGTATTTAAATTAATCCATGGCAGAATTCATAAACATATCAAACCCATAAACATGCAGGAAAAATCTCGTTAGAAGCTATTTTCCATTGTGTTAGTGTCAACAGATGATTTTAAATTAGGATAGAAAACTGCCTACTAATCAGAGCACAGAAGAACATTTATTTTCATTTTACAGTAACACGTCTGTGGTTGATCTTTTCAAATGGTTCCACAACTGCATGTTTGTTCAAATTTTAAACTGAATATAAAAATCAATGAAGATGATGTATAGAGACACATGAACTGTCCTTAAAACTTTCTTCTGACAGCAAGTTTCTTAAGAATGGGAAGCAATACACTTCAATTACCAGAGGTGGTAGTGAGGTATCCATTCGCTAACACCATCACTAACTCCTGCTATCTCGTCAATGGATAAATAGGGGTTTGCTTTCTTTAATTAAACACACTTTCAAATGCCTAGTTACGGAATTCTTGTGTAATATCTAAAGATAATTTTTAAGTCTTTTTAAAAAGATTGGTAAGTTAGAATACATTTTTCTATAAGCAGAATGATGCCCAAAGTATTCTGATGAACTTTTACTAAAAATAATCTTCCTACAGTAGTATGGAATTTTTTAGCCAAGTCAAGCCACCACCTGTTGCATAGCCTTCTTCACTAACACCATAAATTTGATCTTTTCTGGTCTTCAAGTGATTATTGGCTGGTAACTCCTCTGCTTATGAGCACAAATGCAGTTTTGAACATGAATGCAATTTTGAAGGAGCCAAGGCAGCTTTACAAAAAAGGAAATCACCTTCCCTTCAATGAGACCAACTTTTTTCTAAACCTTTGCAGATGGACATGATTCCGTGCACAGCCATTAGATCCAGAAACTTCTCAGTAAGAGAACCAAAAGTTGCTTAATGACACATAACAAGTACAATTTGTGATGCTCTGCATGCAGTTCACTTTCTAAGACTTTTTGTGCTGCTTCCTCTTCCCAAAGCAATGGGTTCAAGATGCATGATGTCTGGTTCCCAGCTATGCTTGTATCTGCTGGATGTCATTATGCGCTGAAGATTTATGTTCAACTCAAATGCAAGTTTCACACTCTACGTAGGGATACCCACAAACATATTGTTCTTTGGAGAACAACTCTCTGGCTCCATAGATATAACTTGGACAGAGTAGTTATGTTCTTCTGCAGCCCATGCCCGATCCAGATCCACAAGCCCCATACACTGCTTTCCTAAAATGAGAGCAAAGGGAAGCATGGAAACTCTAAAAATGTAGAAACATTATCAGAAACATGCACTTCAATATTTAATGTTAGGAAAACACATCACTAAGTCATCTAAAAAATAAGTTCCAAATTTACTTAAAAACTATATTGATCTCTTTAACTTCAAATAGACAGTCATTAGCAGTTCTAAATCACATCTGTGACTTGTAACCCTCATTTAGCAAAGAGCTTGAGAAGGATTATTGACTCTTTATATATGGAGAAACATAACAGGCACAACTATTTTTAAGTATTATCAAAACTTACAGAAAAATCCATGCATTAATGTAAAAGCCACAGGAAGAAAAAAAAAATGGATAGTTTACTCCCTAGCTCTCTGAATCGCCAAACTTCTACTCCCTTTATAAACAGAACTGTTTTCCTCCTGTACGTGCATCCAAAATCTGAAAATCTCTGGTTACTGAAAACCAATAAAAGACTAAAATACCGAACAGTGATCCAGTGTAATTGATTTGAGAAATATGAATGTAACTGCTTATAAACAAAAATACTAAATTACTAATGAAAACTAATCTTATCTCATTTACTTGCAGAAAAAATGGGAAGGATAAATTCAA